GAAAGTAACTGCAGAACAGTGTAGTTCTCAAAAACAATAGCTGCCTATACTTTTAACCGACTGACACTTAGAGAATTAGGCAATTGCATTTCATGCTGCCGATGTTATTGTCCACTGGAAAGATGCCAATCTGTGCTCTGATATGGAGACAGATAGAGGGGGTCGTGAAGAGAGTAGCATTTATTTTTCCTGACACTGATCAGATAAATGGAAAATGATTTATGTTGCCTATTTTTACTTCCACTAACCTGGCTTAGTGTTTCTTCAAAAATGCACTCCGATATCATCGGTGTCATATATGGAGAAGCTCTTGGTGTAATGCAGTGTTTTATATTCATTTTATTTTTAAATATAAATAATGAAACTCAGTGCAGTCGTACTGATGTCCCAGTGAGTAAGTTGTTGGCTGTCTGTGTGTCTGAGGAACACAGTCATGCTCTGCTGTTGGAAGAGAAGAGGATTTGCTTGAAATCAGTATCTGGTTCACATGTTTTATGCATTTCCTCATCACATTTATCGGGCTGCTGCTGCTGCTGTTCCTGCATTTGACTTTTGAATTAGTTTGCTTGACATTTTTGCTAAAATAATTTGTGAGTTTCCATTAAACTTCTTTTCCTTTAGGGTGTTTCCCTGCATATTGATCCACATTTGTGTTAAGGCTAGCTGCTCACTGGCCTGTGACGACTTGAGGAGAAGGGAAATACACAACTTAGCAAAAATGTTTCATTTGGATTTACCTTGAATTGCGACAAACGTGCAGTAAAACCTTGAGTCACTCGTTGGTAATAGGCTGCATTGGTCCTTTACCAGTTCCGTCTTTTTCTTTGTCCTCTTCTTCCTCTTCTCTGTCCTGTTCTTATTCTGCTGCTCCGAGTCGTGACTCTCACTGTTTGTCACAGTTGTGTCTGCGTGAGCTTCAGAAAAGAAGCCACAGATGTTTGAAAGAATCTTTAAAAAATGATAGAAATAGATTCTCATTTTATCTCCAATCACCCAAAATTCATATTCCTCAGCCCCTCACACAGGTGTGTCTGTCATGTTTCCTAATTTTTTTTTTAACTTTCCTCTGGCAAAAGTGCAGTACTTTTTTTTTTACCCTTTATGCCCCTCTGCTGACTAAGGTAATGTCGTTTGATATTTTTTTGTACATTTTTTTTCATTTGATTTATTCATAGTATTTGCTGCAAATGCTGGAAATTCCATTTGATGTTTACTAAGCTGAATTTATAGATAATAATAGAGATAACAGTGGTGCTCATATTTATGAAGAAAACAGTGTGTCATTCAAAGTAAGAAATACGAGTGAAAAAGTCACCCTATCAAACGTGTCTATTTGTAAAATAAATGCATAAATAAGTAAGTAAAAAAACAACAACTGAAGGATAAAAGAAAAACATCGTACTAGAATACTGATGCATTTGTACTATGGTTGAATACCAGTCCTGTATTCAGCCTTACAGTTCAGTGAGTATTAGATGCTGACCCACATTTGCTCTCGTACAGGTTACAGGGATCTCCAGCTGTTCTCATGTGCAATTTCATTTACTGACCTCAAGGATGTGCTGACTAATGGAGGATTAGATTTTTGACATTACATAAAACAATGGTATTGCTGCGTAATACTTCGTTTTTATTTATAATATCATGATCATCAACGATTGTGATCATCATGCCATTTTGACAAAGTGTACACTTCACTACAAAAGAAAAAGTCAAATGAATGATTGGCTCAAACACTGTTTAAACCCTAAGACATTCAATGTCATTCACATTCACATTCAATCTTTTTTGAACACATTTTATTAAGTTTACTAGTAACATTGGTAATAATAATATTCAGGTTCAGTGTAGATTTTCTTATAAGGATTTATTAAAATAATGTTTTGGCTTCATTTCAATGCATTCAAAGAAAACAATCTTTAATTCTATTTAATTAATCATTGTGCTTTTTTTTTTTTTTTTTTTTTTTTCTCTGAGATGTTTGGCACAATTAAATGCAGTAGTACGTGGTTAACGTTGCCGAGTTGTTCTCTAAGCTGTGTATGCATATTTAAAACTCTGTGATACTGTACACATAATCCCTTGTTTCCTTAACAATACGATTCAAGCACAGGCTCCCTATGGAAGGACAGCACTCATCAATGTTAACACTGTTTAGCCTTGGACCACTGTCCTTCCACGGTCATCAGAAATTGTCCATCCTGGAATTATATGACGAGAGTAACTGTGACACTTTAGAGACAACAGTCTCCAGAATAAGCACATAAACAGCGGCTCATGTGTGGGTTTTGACTTTCAAGGTAACACTCATGAAAAGTAAATTATTGATATGATCCTAAATGTCCACCTGTTACGAAAGCAGCAGTGGAAAACTACCCACGCTTTGTCATTAGTCACCAGCAGTTCCTCACTGCCTGGTGCTGTACATGCTGCCACCTATGATTTAGCTCTCCATCCAGTTATGAGGGGGTGTTAGGCGTGAATTATGCAGTACAGTTCCAGTTTCATGGAGAAGGCAGAATGTAGCCTGATCAATATTCCTCACAGGAAGCTGGGCTAATTTACTTTTAAAGGATTTGTTTGCATCACTGAGGCGGAGCCCCTCCTCCTTTACGCAGATTTCCTAAAGACGGGAGATGAAAGATGTGACATTTGTTATAGGTTTCATTCCACTGCACCAGACACCGCCTGTATGTTCATGGTGCTGTTCTTGCTTCATATTTACTTATGTCTGTGTTCAATCTGAAACTGTCACAATTCTGGCAAAGCTACTCGCAGGATGAGACGACATTCTGCTGTAATTTCGTGGAAAAGTTACCTTAAAAATTTGTGTCGCTACAATCTTTCTGTGTACAATCCCTGCATTTCACAGTCTCTGGCTGGCAAACTGCTTTAACCCTGCAAATGACAAAACAAATGCCACACTCTCCTGTCTAACAGCTGGCTCTGTATTTCACACTTTTTTCATCTGATTTTTTCCAGACAGTCAGTGAAACATCATGTCAGCCATTTAAAAAAAAAAAAAAATCATGGTTGGCGATAAAAACAAAAAACAGAAGTTGTTTCCAACCAAAATGTGTTGAAGAGCCAAATCCATCTGGAGATGTTATGGTCTTTTGGGTAACCACTGGACTGTATTGATTTGACGGTGTCAGTTAATCAGGACATTTGTGAACGATGCTGTTTGAGGACATGTATCTCCCCACGGGGAATTATCACCGCAGGATTAGGTCAAGCAGAGATTCAATACATTGTCAGTCTGATGAGGTGATGCACAGAGTGAGAGAAACAGTGAGATAAAGGAGTGGGGGAGGCAGGGGAAGAGGGGAAGAGATAAGTCTAAAGTAGTCGGACGGAAGCCTTTAAAATATTCAGAGCCGTTCTCCATCACCTTTTGCCCTTGCTGCTTGTTTAAGAAAAGAGTGAAATGAAATCAATAGTGCCTCTACTGGTGTCTTTGCCAGACATCATCCAATATTTATACAAATTAAGCCACAGGACCTCGAATTTACCCTGAGCTGTGTTTTTGTACGGTGTTGGAAGGGTTGAAAACTTCTCACCCGTTTAAAGATAAATAGAAGGAAAGAACAACTTTGCATTAACATAAGTGATGTGGAACAAGTAACCTCATCCAAACGTGAGGAGTCATTGATTCGCTGGGAGAAAAGCAAATCTAACATGACACAGAGAAACCCAATGACAGGGTCGTACCTGTGAACAAACTGCAATGTACGCACTGTTGTTAACGCTGCACTTAAATATGTGAAATTTCAACTTGCCTACATGCCCCTTGCTCCCCTAGGGCAAATCACTTCCCCTGGCTTTAGCTTGATGTGAATTAATAGGAAATTGTCTCGAAGGAAAGACGAAGGAAAAAAAGAATAATTAAAAAATGCATGTTATTAAGAACAGAGGTCTCAGATGAGCTGGAGGCCACAGCTGCAGCTGTCACTTCATTGGAGGGCCACATTAGTGCTTAATATTTAGTACTTTGTTTGTATTGTGTTTTTATTATTATTATTTTAAATAATCTTTATTATAATAATTGCAAATAAAAAATTTGAAAACTAAATTATCATTGACAACTAGTGATGGGCCAAAATGTGAAGGGTTCATGGGCCGGAAGTGGCCCTTGGGCCAGGAGTTTGACAACACTGCTATAAAATAACCACAAAATGCAGTTCCATTGCATGACTATGCATATAAATGTGGCGTCCTGTCTATGATAATCCCTTGTCGTCTGTGTTGTGGTACTTTAATCCCATGAAAATATAAAAGTAAAATCTAACGAGCCCAAAGGGTTTTTTTCCCCACAAAATAATGTTGCTATTGTTTTAGACGTAGATAAACATTTCCATGGTTTTTTTTTTTATTTGAGTCACTTATAATATATAATTAATGAATCTTTTAATTCTGTGTGCGTCACTGAGCAGCTTTAAACCTTTGCAGTTATTTGCAGATGCAGCTGATGCACGGCCTCCGTTCATCCACAGATTTTTAAGCGTAAGCAACAACTTCTGCATCAACAGTTTTGTGATGAATTTAAAGATAATTTCATGGACGTGTTGGGATTG